TTTTATTGCAAAAACTTTTATTTTGATTACAAAATTATGATAAATTGTTTTCAAACATATTATTTTGTCAGTCGTTTGGCATATAATCTAATATTAATATGAGAGAGAGAGAGAGAGAGAGAGAGAGTGAGAGAGAGAGATTTTATAGTTTCAAAACATAATAAAAATTTAATTAAACTTTTCTTATCGTTGCGTTTGTTTTGCAATCGATTTATTTTAATATAAATACAATATACCACTGATTTAGAGTACAATACAGATTAAATGGGTATTCACCTGTTTAATTATATTTTAACTAACTTGCACTTTAGGCTAACGACCTTTCTGGAAATAAAATAAATTTTAATGTTACTTTACAATTGCGAGTGTGCATTATAGGTTACATAATTAAATACTGTAATATACGAATAAGCTATATATATTAAAAATTTTTAAATAAATTTATTAATAGTAAATAAAAAATTTAAGCAGCTAATTTAATATTAGTTATTAACTAAAATAAAATAAAATTTTAATTAAAACCTATTAATTAATATAAAGCCGATCCATTAAAAATAAAAAATATTTAATCTGATTATTATCTACCCGTGCAGTCAGTCATACAAATGGCCGGTTTTCGGAGTTTGGGGGACGAGGAGGAAGTGGAGTTCGAGTGCAAGGTGTCGGACAAAGGCTTGGAGGCCACGATGGTCTCGGGGGTCGAGGGCCAGGAGTGCAAGGGCTCCAACCGGCGACCCATGTCTAAGAAGAAGTTCAAAAAGATTAGGTCAGTCCCCATACCCATACCCCACACAAAATACATAACTACTACTACCCTTAACCAAAACAATTAACTCCCTAACCCCTTAAGTATCTCAACAAAAAAAGCTGCCAGTCTTTTACTTTGAAAAAACATGACTTTCCCCGTATTAATCATTAATACCAGGGTTTGAGTCGATTAGTGAACGACTGTTTTTGTTGGTTAGTATTGATGAGTGTCTGATCGCCAGACTGTATGTCTGTGTGTGCGATACGAGTGTACCGGTGCTCTGGTGGTGATCCGCTGGACAGACACGTCATACATTTGTTGAGCACCGGGAGGCTAATAGAGAGCATACTAATAACATTGACCGTGACTGCCAAAAATCGATAGTAAAAGTTGCATTATATTAGTATGGTATTTGTGTATAGGGGCGCACCGGTACGTCTATATCTGCATCCCTTTCCCCTCTTTCATCTGTATTTCCTAATTTGAAATCTTGTTATTATTTTTGTGTTCATACAATATATAATGTGTTTTTTCTCTGTTATATGTTTTTAATGTATTTTTAAGTTTTAGTTTATTGTGTTTATTGTGTACTTCTAAAAGCAGATGGTTTTTTCCATACTACCGGTGCTGTATGTCTGGGCACAACCACCACCTATGGCCAGTCCACTCGCGCGCCCACTGATGCCCAGTCATTATGCATTCATTTGCTTCATATATACAGTGTATACCCAATATAATATACCTATTAAAGTGCATATGGTTTTTAAAATTGCATATATTTTAGGCATACTATAGGTTAAATGTTCAGCAAAATAGTATTAGGTATACAGTACTATATATTACCATAAATAAGTTACCTTACTAAAATTTATCTCATTATTATGTATGTATAACGAGTTTACTATAACGAGTGTCGACTGTAACAGTCAATGACTTGTGTATTGTATAACACCTGCAAAATACTCACTCAACTAATGCTTACATTAATTATAAGCAAAAGTTTTTTGTTTTGTTATATATTTTTGAGAGTTTTTTTTTCAAAAACCATTACTAAAGACAAACAATAATTTCTATACAAACAGTGGAAAGCAAATAGAAAACAGTGTTTTATTGTATTTTATCTAAAAATCTTTGTGTCAATGCTTTTAAAACTTATTTTCTCAGCCATTATATTAGGCGAAAGTTAGCCAACACTATACGAAATGCCTTTCCCTACCCGCCGCCCCCACACATACACACCACTTGTCTTACAGTTTGACATCAATTTTCATTATTGTTTTGATTTTATTTTACGTTCAAACGACACGATAAAAAAGTTTTTGTCACACATTTTGTGCGAAAATTGCAAAAAGAAGTCAAAATGAGAGACAAATACTATATTAGATCAGCACAAAAAAGTGATAGGACATATTTTTAGTGAAAATTCGAGCTAGATAACTATATATCTTAGCCATTTGTGTCAATACATGAGCGACACATGTATTAATTTTAAAACAAAATGCAATTATCACGCTAGCTACCAGTGCTAAGTGGGAAGTAGTATTTAAGGGGTAGATATGAGTTGTGAATTAAAATTAATAGATTTTTTTAGATATATTTTTGTTTTGTCAATACTTATGGAGATTATGTTTCCACAGTTTTTAATGTAAAACCAATTTTGTGGACATTTTTTGTCAGACTAATCGATATTATGATTGAAAACTCATATTATTTTTCATATTAAACTACACAAAAACTCTCAAAGTCTTTGTGTACTGTATGTCAGTCGAGAGAGAGAGAGAGAGAGAGATCGAAATAAAAACTCAAATCTGTTTTACATTTAAGTCTGTGATATATGTGACGAATCACACAATCACATACATCCCTGTCCTCTCAGTGCTATCCCATTGATACAGGCATTAGGATGTGCAGTGTCTGGCCATTGAAAATAGCGGTCCGACAGTCAGCCAGTCGTTATGCCCAGCGAATGGAGTGCATGAATAATGAGTGCAATTTACGCTCTCGGCTCCTGTACTCCCCCGCACTGTTAGCTTTAAATTTTGTTTTTCGCTAACAATCCCCTCTGAAAAACATTCTTTGAATTAGGCTTTTATCATGTGAGGGTACGAGAGAGAGAGAGAGAGAGAGAGAGAGAGCACAGGGATTCAAATTATTAAAGTGTGTGTCTGTCTATTGTACTGTAAGTCTCAGTCACTCAGTGTCTGTCTCTCTATACTCCCCCTCAAAGTCTATTGTATCGTAACGTACGGCCAGTTTTATGTGTCAGTAGTGTCTCGAGAGGGGTCGGGTAGGGGGTGGCGGGCGGTCATCAATCGCTGACCAACAGCTGTGCTGACTACCAGTCCCTCACACAATAGCCACTCGCCATTGTAGTCATGAATATTACTGTCCATTATATTTAAGTATTGGTTTTAGAAAATATACATTTAAGTAGGGTAGTTTTGAAAAATTAAATTATATATAGTTTTTTCTATAACAAAAGTAAAAATTATTAATTAATAGACAAAAATATTCAATAACATGAGTTCCTGTTTAAATTAATTAATTAATAGCATTATCATTATGGTTTTCATTGTATTGACAATTAAACCTATTATATTAAGGTTTTAGGGTAACTATTTTACTCCCAGTGATTATTAATAGCCATTAAGTTTAATATTTTAATACATTGTATTATACAGTATATAATAATAGATAATCTAAAACTACATCCGATAAGTGATTAAAATCTAATGATTACTATAAAGCAAATGATATTTATTGGCGAAACACATGAAAAGTACCGCTTTTTATATGATATGTATTTTTATTCAATGAAAACGCATATCATTTATTAAAACGTATAATTGATTTATATATATATTTATGACTATATTATTAACGTCTCTCTCAGAGCACTGGTATTTCAATTCATTAACATTAATAGCAATAGACATAATTAAATGCACATAAAAGTGTAGTCAATTTATTGGACACCGATTTATACAGACTGCTATTTTAATAAACATGGTTAAATATTAACAATAATATATAAATATTATTTTACATTAAAAATACAAAATTTAATTCATTTTTCACCTAATGTAGTGTTTTTGAAATGTGCAAGCTAGCATGTTATCAAACACTATCGTGTTTAAATATTTATATTTTAATATATTAAATATTTTATAAATTATGAGTTGCCAGTCCATTGGCTATTGACATACCTGTGCTCCACAATGTATGCATTATTTATACATTCATTCGCTTTCAGTAAAAAATATATTTTACTTTTCAATACTTCAGACTGAAAGGTGAAAAATAAGGGAGGGGTCGGTAGACGAGGTACACGTGCCGTGAAAAATGTATGGTGAGGGTGTGGGTGCGGTAGTGTCGGTCACATATAGAGGTTGTCGGTTTTGATAGTAAAGGAAAGTCGTGTTAAATATTTAAACACACGATTGAAGTGATGATCAATCGATTGTCTCCTTATTTGTTATTAATATAGCATTCAAAATAAAATTAAAATTTTTATACATTATACTATAATCATTATAATGTATTGAAACTATTTTTAGATAAGTGTCAAACAAGTGAAAAACAAAAGTAGTAGCAAACTGTAATTTTGTATAAAATAAATTTTATTACCGGTATCTTAAATGAACATAGTGTATAGTAAAAATACCAGTGCTGCTCACATGTGTAATCATTACACCACTGAGCAGCCCTGGTAGTTTTAATATAATTTGTACTAAACATTAAAATATGTTCAATACACTAATGCAGCATTAGTAAAGCTTCACCAATGTGTCAAATCCATGGACCATGGTCAATACAACTGTTAATACAGTTTAAACTTTAAACATATACCAAAAACACTGAATAATCCTTTAAACCACAAAAAATAAGTTACTAAACCCTTATCCACAATACTAATTATTTACATCTGCCCCACACCTCCCCGGGTGACCTACAGGTGCTACAACTGCGGTGAGTTTGCCAACCACATCGCCGCGAAGTGCAATATGGGTCCGCAACCGAAACGGTGCCACCACTGCAAGGACTCGGAGCACCTCATAGCCGACTGTCCCAAACTGGAGGAGAAACGGCTACTCAAGAAGACCACCTCATCGTCGGACGACACGTCCAGCTCCGGCAACAGCACTACAGGCAAACGCAGTGTCAACGGACACCACAACAGCGCCGGTAGCGACAACTCCGAAGAGGAGATTATACTGAATGCCGCGGAAACGGCGTCCAGTAATGGGTCGGAGAAGCACCTGTCCGACAGCGGTATCGGCAACCGGTCCATCGGTAAGACCCCGACCACCGACGACACCAAATCCGAATCGCCGGTGTCCGACGCCAGTAGGGGTCGGGATGTCTAGGGAGAGGGCGTTTAGCTCTCGGATTCCGCGTACATCCGGAATATTCTGTGTATAGAAATCCATTTCTCAGACACCCATTCGTATGATTATTATGAGTGTATAAATGTTTTCAAATTCATTGATGATTAGATTTAGAGATAAAATTTTGTAATATTTTTCTGGACCCACAAAACGGACACTGGATTTAAACCATATGTTTAAAGATTAAGATTTTTGTTTTGTAAATTCGTGTTCCGTTTTGTCGGTTTAGATAATCAAATATATTATGAGAATAATTATACAATTAATGGTTTTAAGAAAATACCATTTCATACATGATTACCAAAAAAATATATACAAAAAATGCTTTGAATTTAGTACTCATTTTGCCGATACAACACATACACGAACACAGGTCTAACACATACACCGGATAATACACAGGTGTATTGCCGTTGAATAGGCACATGTATGTTAGCATAGATGTGTTTGGCATACCTGTGCCCGATATGGTGATCACCTCAAATGCCCACGAGCGCAATCAAAATCAATACTCTGTGTATAATATATGTGTATTTATAACGTGTTTTTAGTTAACTAACTTTCACTATCAATCTCTCTCTCTCTCTCTCTCTCTCTCTCTCTCTCTCTAATTATTTTTTTATTGACCACTACTTGACACACAAACTCTTGTGTAAAATACACTAAAACTGTCTGTCCATAGCATACCTGACCGGAAACCTGTCGATAATGAGTACTTAAAATCACTAATTGATTGGTCATCGACTCCATTAGATTATCATTGATTATCACGACATCCCATACCATCCCTTACATCACACACACATAAATACACGCCATACCACTCGCATCACTAGTTATCCATTAATAACATGTGATAACAGAAACCGATTGATAAGACGTCGCCAAACAGTTCCTAACGATTAAGACATTTATTGTTTCATAACTTATTCATTGGTTTTTGTTTTTATTTTTTGTTTTTCATATTTCGTAACAAATCTACAGATCTTTAGTGAAAACAAACCAAACATTTAATTATAATTTCTTTTTTTTCATTATTCGTGTCAACACAGAATATTCTGTATGTTTTAGACAATACATGAATATTCTATACCAGTATACTATATATAAATATATTAAATCATTTATTTTTTATTTGATTTGTGAATTTGATTAATATGTTTACGATTTTTTCAATGACTACTTGTGTATACTTTTATAGAAGTCATATTTTTATTGGTTTTAATTATTTTATTTTATCGTATAGTTTATTACTATTTTAATTGAGATTCAGTTGAATATTACGGTCACTCACTCCCTCTCGACTCATAATTATGTCAACAAATCTACTGTCAATTCAATAGGTATTCATCGATATATTAGTGAATATATTCTGTTATATATTATTTTATATCCATTATTATTATTATAGTTTTATGAGTGCATTTTGATACCGTATTTAACGACTAGAAAACTCTCAATTATATGATCACATACTTCTCATGAGAGTTACCATTGCCGTCAATAGTAAACTACAGACAAAAACAAAAAACAATTATACGGACTAAACAAATGGCAAAATATACGCTCAAAATAATAACAATAATAGGATTTCTAATTCAATAGTCAACAGATAATGAACATCATATAATTCATGGCATTTAATTGACAATTACTTAAGCGATTTAATGATTACTATTATATAAGTCTGTGTTTTTAAATATTTATGCCAATAGTCGAGAGCATAGGAAAAAAGTCATGAAAATTGTTGTTACTTTTCATTGAGAGCCTAATGAGCGGAATGGGAGCTGAGATGACTGTCCAAAATACATACAACTGAATCAAACATATACTGAGGATTTAAGCGATTATTTTAATCACAATTTCCAATATTGTTTTGGTCTGTGTATTGAAAGGGGAAATACACCTAAATGTTTAGACCATTTTGTTTAATATTTTGTATACTATATTATAAAGTGAGCGTGGTTACTACAGTTCCTTTCCCATCGACAACCATTACATAACTAATCAATTGGTGAAACAAATGTGTAATTAATTTCATTACAAAAGCAAACAAACATAAAATCATTAATTATTATGATTTTTTGGCGCTAATGTCTTAATATTATAAATATGTGTTAAATCGACAAATTATAGTCTCTCTCTCTCTCTCTCTCTCTCTCTCTCTCACTCTCTCGACAGAAATATTGCTGTTTTTAATAAAAAATATTTGCCGACAAATACATCCCACAAATAATTATATCCTTGTCAACCGATTAATTGATAAACAGATTAGTGGAGACATAAAAAGGTTAGTTTTTAATATCAAAATAATTACAAAATGTGTGCACACAAAAAAACTGTGAATTACTTGAATGTACAAGTTAATAACTACCTCAAACACAAACAACTTTAAGTATACGAGTAAAAACCAAAAATTACTTATTTGTGAGCAAACTATACACTAAAGTACTTAACCTATAGACACGCCAATAATTAATAACCAAAAAATTAATTAAATATTCAGTGAGTGTAAGAACTAGTGATTAAAAACTAATTTACTTAATCTAGCCATCAGTGTATACACGATATTATGAACTGTAGTTTCTTATGTCTACTTAACTGTCAGTCATATAAAAAATTACAAACTAGTGTTTCATTAATTGATTGGTGAATATATGGCACACAATCACTAATTGCTTCGTAAAAAACATATAAAAACTATTTTATATGAGTTTTGATTGATTGATAAAAAGCAACTTTTTATGTAAGTTTCCGTTTGTATATTATTTGAATTTTTATTATTTTTAGTAGTAATCAGTTAATAGATATTATTGCTTTATATGTTATTTTCCGATTAATTGAGAGATTACGACATATAATGGGATATAAATATTTACATACATATGATAATCGGAAACAAAATATACTATAAAAACAAAAACAATTAATAATTTAATTGATTACCCGATTCAGAGATATAGCTTAATGTCAATTTTATGGAAAGGTATGAAAATTCATAACAAAATGCAAATCATTTATAACAATAGAAATATGAATCTAAATATAAATACACGGGAATTAATTATTAAAGTAAAACAGACATTAATGGCATATAAAAGTGAATTTAAATAATGAATACAATTATACTGATAACAGAATATTCCTATAAATATTAAAATCAAATTGTTTCATTTTATTTGTAGGCTTTTTTATTAATAAATGTTTTGTTTTTTATGAAATAACATATCAATTAATATAAATTATTCATGATTTATTCATTTAAATGATTTCAATTTCATGTTTCATAAAAATAATTATATATTTAGAGGGAGAGAGAGAACCCATAGAAATAGCATAGAATCCAAGTCTACCTCAACATCGAGTCCTAAAACTTTTGACATTCAGTTATAACTAAAGCAAAACATAAACAAAAACTTTATTTACTTAGGAATCAAAGTTCAAGAATTTAAAATCAAAAATTAAATTTGGTTTTATTTTAATTGCTGATTAATATGACAACAGTTTATCCGATTAATTACTATAAACCTTAAGATAGTTATTATTGATTATTATTATTGCTTATAAATTGCTTATTGATTATTACAAATAATTATTAGTCTTATTAATTAGAAAATTGCGAATTATATTCCGTATATATAATTAAAAACATTTTTTGTATGAAAATCTATTATAATTATAATAGTAGTTATTATAAATATATAAAAATTATATACAAAACCCAAATATTGTATTTGAAATTCATATATAACAAAATTAATTATTGGAGTGGGAGATTACATAAAACACCTGGATAATAAAGATGTAACAATTAATGCTCAATATTAGTGATTGCAAACCAAACATCAAAATATAAAAATCAAAACAATTTGTTATTAATTCATAAGTTTTTCATTTTCTTTGAAACTGGAAGTCATATTTAAAATCTAGTGTTTTTCACCATTAATTATAAACTTTAAACTCATCATGTGAAATAAACTTTTGATACAATGTTTTGTGTTAGATTTATCTATTATCTAACTCTTAACCTCAATCCATACATCCCTGTCCCACAATGGGTTTTAATAATTATGTGAATTATAATATTACTATTGATTGTCTGATATAATGATGATTATCATCAATACATCATTACATGAGAGGGACATACAGTATAAAAATATATACAAACAAATCGGGAAACATTGATTAAACATCTATACAATGATAACAAATAATACAATTACATTAAGTCCACTCGCAATACAATACAACTAATAATTTATATTAAATATAAAACATATAAAACGGGAAAACTTGTGTAACATTTTTGATTAATAAAAAGCTAATAAATGGCAAACAAATACAAAACAATTATATCGATAACTGCGAGACATATATAAGACATACAATAAATATATACATGACATAAGTCAAGACATTGGGTGAGGGGAATGAGATGTAATACTTGAGCTTCAAAATTATTGCCGTATTTTTATATATTAAATACGGAGACATATCTGCACTAACTGTCCCTCAGTTTACGCTATAGTTTTAAATGATGATAATTGTTGTCATTTATTTTTATTTGCAATTTTCTCTCTCATCACTGGCTATCCATCTCATGCCCGGCCACTACTGCCCAGTATATAACGGCATTCGGCTCCAGTTATATAAATATCATACCATTCCCACTGAATATCATAGTTATATGAGAGAAAAGTTTGCAGCACTTAGTTGTCTCATCCAATCAATAGATATAATTCATTATAATTAAAATCTGTTACAAAACTTTGCTCTCTCTCTCTCTCTCTCTCTCTCTCTTTGCCATCATTTTTCTGTTTGCTTTGCAATCAAAACAAATTATACGACAAATACAACTGGAAATTAAAACAACAGTTGTTTTCGTATGGAAACAAAACTATTTGTTTGGTGTGATTGACAGCCACTATAAGACACTAACAGATATCCCCTGAAGTAGTACTCAATTGAAATTGCGA